GGGATAATCTACAATTCACAACCCATGAAAATACAAAGGTTAAAGTTAAAAGGAGTTGTGAAAGGTGAATTTATACACTATAGGGTTTTTTTTTCTTTTATTACTTTTTGTGGTATCTTGCTTATCAAGTAAGGGTGTTTGTGTCAATATCACTAAAAGACGATGGATGCTTTTGTCATCTTTATAAAAGGTAAAGTAGAAACTTTTACTAGAGGACAAGGGTATTTTTTAAATAAAGTGTCAAGACACTTACTTATAAAATACTATTGTACTTTTATAAAAGATTTCAAGTTTCCCTTATTTGAACCATTTTTTAAACAAAAAAGTTATGATATTTTTGATAAATGCACCCATCACAGCCCATTCTACTATTAACCTTTGCATTTTGAGGGTTAACTATATGTAGGGATTGTATACTATGGGATCATTTACTTTTGATACAAGGAGGTCACAATCATTTTTACCCATTGGATTAGAAATCTAAAAAATTGAAGTGTGTCACAACATTTGAGAAATTTTATTTTGGATTTTGTGCCCAATCAATGATACATCCGCAACACTCGATTTCACATCTAACAGTTAATAATGACTGTGACCCTCTTATATCAAAAGTAAATGGCCTCGTTTTATTCATTTCCATACACACACACATACATACATACATACGTACATACACACACATACATACATTCACACACATACATATATAGGTAAAAGCTGGCGTAGGCCCACTAGCGTACAACTACATATGAGCCCAACGGCTCAAATTCAATTTGGGTCGATCGGTCACAATCTCATTTCGTATTTTAATTTTAATTTTTTTCTACAAATCCAAATAATATGAAATTTTGTATGTCGATTTTTCTCATCAAGGCGAATCTAATAAAAATATTAAAAAATAATTCGTAAAATATAAATTTATCTAAAATACCTAAAAACTTTAACGTATAATTTGTTCAATTTATGTTTTACAAATTATTTTTTTGATATTTTTATTAGATTATCTTATTTTTAAAAAAACAACTCTCAAA